AAATTAGCCTGAAACATGAGTCTGTGTAGAATAGGCTGGAATTTCCCACAATTCCTTTCGGAACTTTGCGTAGAATATCCTGGATTTTGCTAAAACTGTTTGACTATTTTTTCCCTGGTCCTGTCTACTAAGGATCTAATTTTTCATATGACCTACTATTCGCCGCATGTTTTTCTCATAACGAAGATGAATCTACTAGAAGTATTGAGGGGAAGGCTTGATACTTTGTTGACATTGATTGTTCGCTACAGTCACTCTGGACTGCAGGTTCGACCTCGCCCATTATCAACGTCTCATCAGTATCAGCCTCCTCGGCAATGTCGAAGCCACGAATATAGAGGATCAACGGCAGATAAATCGACCGCCAGGCCACACGACCTCAGTTTCGTTGATCTGCACAAGACACAGCAGACCTCTCCTAAATCCCTACTTCAAAGATGATCTTTGCATCGATAGGCAACCGTGTGTTTGCCACTAAACTCGACACAATTCTGACTTGGCGTTAGAATTTCTTTGTGCTAGCTGGGTTCCGACAAAGCTCTTGAGATAATAATATTGAGGAGACTTTCATTCCGTATGAAAGTACATGATGAAGAGATTCGTAGGCTGATTTCACTGGAAAACGACGGCCGATTTTCGTCGTTCTGCATCCGTTTGGCCCTAATACAACATCCAGGTTGAAGTAGTCTACGAGAGATCATTCTTCGCCTTGAGTGAAACTAAGTTAAGCTTACGTTTGTCATAAGAAGTGCGTCATCATAGCTTGAGTGAATATCAACTTGAAAATTTCGCAAGAATGAGTTCCAGCTTTGATGATGTCCATCATTTGACAAACGATAGTCTAGCCAGCTTCCACTCAAAACGATGAAGGACGTCTCTCAGATTGTGTCAACATGAACCTTGCGCTAAGGCCAAAAGGCGGAATAACAACTGGAATCGGCCATCATCTGCCGATGTCTACATAATGCACTTTCATACGAAATGAAAGTCTCCACAATAATAGAATTCCCTTGATGGCTGAAAGCATAAATCCGGAAGTTGTTATGGCAAGCTATTAGTCAAAGTGAACTTCAGTGCACAATCAAACATTCTCTTCGCTTCATCATTAGAAGAACAGTTTTGTGTCGGTTCCTGCAACACAATGCTCTTTCAACTTCGTTTACATGTCAATGATGGCGCACAAGTGTGCTCAAAATTGGTAAGGCTTTACAAAGATGAGAAATGATAGAAAGAATTTGGGAATATACCATCCAGTTCTAAGAACTTGGATCGAGTTTAAACTTTCCTTGGGTGCTCCTAGTCCATGGTTGAGCGAGTGAGCCCAGTGCAGATTGGGGGATATAGTGAAGTTCCCTTTACAAAAATCAGGTAGGGCATCATTATTGCTGTTAATTTCGAGAATTACAGACACCTCAAAAAGTATGTCTAAACCAGCCTTTAATCGGACATTTGCTTTAAAAGTGAGTATTTTTTACAAAAAAATATTTTTTGCCAATTGCCTCCGTTAACTTAAAAGCATCCAATTAAACGGTATTTTTGGTTACCTTTAGCGCCTGTCTTTCTGGTTCGCCATTCTCCGAGAAGACACCGGAGTAATTAATTTGATCTTGACCATCTCGAGTCTCTCCATGACATGCACACTTGCACGGCGCATTGCTAGCGCTTGAATCCTTGCCTTCAGACCGTTGAACCCAGCGGCTATAAAAAGGAGAGGCAGATGAGAGAAAAAATCCAGAGCGCCGTTTTAATTATCTCGCCAAATTTCGTTTCCAGAATTGTGCAAAAACAAGGTTGGGCTCAGAACAGCCAACTGGTGTGCCAAATAGGCACAGAAAAACCGCTTGCGTACACGGATTTAAGGTCCAAGGGCAGACTTAACCTTTTGGTATGGCCGCCAAATGGAGCTTTTGTATCAACTTCGATACGCGTATGACTTGAATGTGCTGTAACTCCGACTTGGAAACCACACAGGATCTCCCATTGAAACAATACAAGTGGAGCCACGGGTGCGACCAGAAACCCGGTCGTGGCAGTGAGGTGGTTGTCGGGGCCGGTAGATTAAGGTTTAGCATACGACACTAAAAGTTATGTATAAAGGACAAAGTTTAGCCAAAATGGCTTTGGCTGCTCTGGCCAAGTTCTTGACGAGACTCGCGCTTGTATGAAAAAGCCCTATGAGAGGAAATGTCGAGTAGCATCCGATTGCAGCATTCATACAAGTGTGGGAAAATCTTCATCTTCAGTCCTCAAATCACCTCAAACGACCTAGTTTGACTATGTATGATTCCTAACTAAATGGGCATTGCGGCCCTTGCCAAGACACCTGCAAAATTATCCCTTGTGTTGTCATGTGGTCCAGACAAGATATATTCACACGTGCATGGCTCTGACTGCCTGACAAAGCATGGATCGAGCATTAAATCGCGTTAGTCTACAACTGAATTTATTCATATTCACATACGCATACATATACACATGCTCAGGTTGGCTCACTTCCTCCAGACTAGCACCTCATTGCAGACGCCGTAGGCGCCGTGTCCGATGGAGCGCACCACCCGCAGATTCAAGTCGTCGGGTGGCCTAGACAAAAAGTGCCCTTCGCTTTCGCTGGAGGTTCTGCCACAATCCATCTCGTCGCTATGGCGAAGGGCAGCAAGGAGTGAGCCTCGTGCTGCCTTCGCTGTCGTCGAGGCTGGTTGGTGTGGTGATGACGTGTGTACTTCATGAGAGACAGCAGACGCAATGAGGCCAGGTGAAGACGTCGAGCCGGTTGCCATAGCGAGCTGTGTAGGTGAGCGAACGGGACCAGGACTGGCTGTAGGATTGGGACTGGATGACCGCATTAAGCAGATGGGATCGACTCGTGAGGAGGCCGGAGCACTGAAAGGAAGAGGCGACAGTATGTATTTCTGCGACTCAAATTTCCATTTAGAATGAAAAATCTGTTGGAAAAGGTTTGTAACCTTGTCTCATACCGATTGCTTTGGAAGAGTAAAAACTCTTGTGTCGTGCGAAGGCGTCCTCGGCTCACCGTCCTGTCACCCCAACGAACCAATGTTAACCTTTGGTCTATACCGCTGTGACATACATCATCAGGGTAAGGATACTAGACCAACGATATACTAGACCAAGAAAAAGCCAATTAAATTTGACGGCTCTCTGGTTTCACGTGGACCCATTTCGGTGGAGAAGGCATTCTGTAATTTCTCTCGTCCTTTTCCCACTAACATACAACGGCACAGGGCGGCCACACATCCAATAGAAATTGTGGATATAATCGAAAGTATGAAGACCAAGATGGTGTGGCCTATTGTGTGGTCGCAGTCTCCTTTCGTTGTATGGAAGTTGTTTGACGTTGCTTTCGCAACATGGTCATATTGGTAGAAGGACTTAGAGGAACGCACCTAGTCCGGAGTGAATTGTCTGCATGATCATTTCCAAAGTTAAACCGTGAACGTGGTACACTCCCAAACGTTTCACCGGCACCGTAGTCGGCATCGTCAATGAGTATCGCCG